CGGCGCCAGGCGCCGCGGGACCGCTGTCCGCCCGGCAGGTCCACCAGCGTCACCTCAAACCGGTCCACCCGGAGATGGGTCTGGCCGGGCTGTGCCGCGGGCAGCACCTCACCAGCCAGCACTGCGAGAGGAGAGACGGTGGAGACCTGGGCATGGCCTGGTCTCACCCGCTGCGGCTGCGCCCTGCTCCGATTGCACAGAGGGCCAGCTTGCAGGAGGCTCACCCCTGCCTGGCTCCGCAGAAGACCATAAAGCCACTGCCTCCAGCTGCAGGTGGCCCCAGCTCCTCACCTCTCTGGAGGTCCGTGACCAGGGTGGTTTTCCCCGCGTTGTCCAGGCCCACAACAAGGAGGGTCACCTTCCTGGGGAAGGAGAATGACCCGGTGAGCCTGCATCCTGGGGAGCGGCGATGGAGCCCTCGCGGTGCTTCCCAGGGCAGCGATTGCTTCCCGGATCACACCAAACTGAGCAGCGATATGCGCAGGCCAAGAAGATGGTTCCTTATGGGCATATCAGTTCAGGATTGCTCTTAATGTTGTTCCACGTTAGTGCGTCATGGCTATACACAGAGTGAGAGCGCAAGGAAGTTCTCCAAGCCTCTGCCTGGACCCAGGAGTTTTCCCTGTTGCTAAGGCCTCCAGCAACATATCCACCTGAGCCGTACACATCTCATTTTCCCTTTGTTTTACAAGTCAGCAGTGCTAGTCGTTTTGTTTTCGGTGTCTTTTTCCCCTTAGACTCATACGCAGGCCTGGGTGTGCAGCACGACTCCACCTCTGATATTACAATTAACGTGCTGCTGTTGCAAAGGGAGGACCACAAACTGCCTTATCGCCCGTACCACACCCAGCAGCGCCTGCCCTGCGTGGGCATAACGCTTTCTCGCAAAGCACTCTTTCAAAAGAAAATTTAATCTGGTCTCGTGACGCACGTCAACGCTCCAGGCGATTCAGGTTTTGCCCTGAGCTTTATCGGGGAGCTGGTTTGAGAGGAGAAGGCACTGGGACTCCCCCCACCACCCCGACGTTTCTGGAGTCGGCACTTCTGGACGTACGCTCCGCACGCTGGAGGGACGGACGGCGCGACAGCCCCGGAGACGTGCCCGCTGCGGCCGCGGCGCTCCTCCCGCCCCGCTAATCCCCCGGCAGGGCACCGGCCGCCCTCAGCCCTCCTGCTGCGACGCTGAATGCGTGCCCTGGCCGAGGACCTGCCCCCTCTGTCCTTCGGGACGGGCTCGTGCCCTGCTCCGACCAAGGGGGAGCCGAAAAGGCAGGGGGTAAAGCTCGTGCCGGGGAGGAGACCGCCCCGTTCCCTGTTGGCATCCCGGGGTACGGGCATACCTGACGGGCTCCTGCACGGCCTGCAGCCAGGACCAGC